CCCCCTCCCCGTCACGTGGTGTTGATGGTTCAATCATAGTGAGACAAACATTCGCAAAGTGTAAACTACACAATGGACGTATGCACACAGTCACCGAAGTGACACGTAGACACAGTATAGTAGCGTAACCCGTAGGTTTCCACTTCGCAAACCAACACACCCAAGAACCACCGTCATACCGCCAACCACCCTTGGTGACAGTCGGCCGTTGTCACAGTCGCCCGTCACCGAAGGAACCCCAGAGGTCAAACTAAACTGATACCTACGTACTTATAGGACCGCAAAATGTACCGGTTAGGCCTTCTCCGAGTGGACAAGGGCTAACCCTTCGGCGAAAAACAGGAACGAAAAAAACGTCACAACCCAAGGTCCGCGGGTCCAGACCCTTCTACAAACTTCAAACTGAGTCTGACAAGTCCTAACGTCAGCAGACCCTTGCGACTATCTCTGACTACTGCCGGGACAACTCAGGCTGCTTCAAACAAATCCAATGGCACCTCCTACTCAGCTAAAATGCAAAACAACAAAGCAAACCATTCCACCACCAGTACCTTTCCCGCGTGGGAAAATAGGGAAAACTGGCAGTTTTCCCAGGCGCCTGAATTTTTGGAGGTCGGGCCCGACGATGACTGCCGTTGATAAATCTGATCGGCGGCCGTCGTTCCGTTTCGGCCGCTGCAAAGGTCCCGAGGCCCGCTATTTTCCAAGCGGCGAAGGTACTGGTAACCAGTACCTTTCCCGCGTGGGAGAATAGGGAAAACTGGCAGTTTTCCCAGGCGCCTGAATTTTCGGAGGTCGGGCCCGACGATGACTGCCGTTGATAAATCTGATCGGCGGCCGTCGTTCCGTTTCGGCCGCTGCAAAGGTCGGATGCCTACCCGAGGCCCGCTATTTTCCAAGCGGCAAAGGTAAGACTGCGCTACAATGGCCCAAACAGATAGAACCTACGGACTAACATGAAAAAAAAAAGCATTTGGTTGTGTGGCGTGGCCACGGCCGAGATGTCTCGGCCACGCCTGAAAGGGGGGCCGCAGAGGCATGGGAAAGGGAAAAAAAAAAAAAAAAAAAAAAAAAAAAAAAAAAACGGGCCACGTGCCTAACTGAACTGCTAGAAAGGCCAGCCCGAGTTTCAACTGCATTTGAAACTCTGGCCCTGACTAAACTGCTAAAATGCAGTTTGAAATGCAATCACAAACTGCTTTTGTGACTGCGCCCCAGTTACCTCATTTTAGTATTTTCATTTCAGCAGAAAAAAGAAGAGAGGCGCGCAACTCCCTACCATCTTCCCTCGAACATAATGCACCCTCATCACGACCGTATCCAGCTAGAAATGCAGCTTGTGTACATTCCTAATCAGGGTGCGTTGTGTTCAGGGGAAGACTGTAGTATCTACAGATTCTACACCATTTTTTGGCCAACATTGACCAACGACAATAAGCAGCTGTGGCCACCCTTCCCCTCGCCCCCTCCCCCCCCTAGACCACCACTACCTCCAAGCCTCTTTTTGCCGAGGGGGGAAAGGACTTCATGCCAAGCTTCGCCTAAGCACCGGCACACCTTTTTTTTTGGCTGGCGCCACCTGCCATTTTGGTCCCGCCCTGCCTCCGAAGAATGCGGTATAGGTTTAGTCCCTTAATACTGCATTCTTAGGAGGTTTCAAATTTGCCTGTGAAAGGTATTGGTGGTCATGCTCATCTCATCTGTATCGTTCCAATTTTAAGCGCTGTCTCAAAGGATCAACACCTGTGGCCTTGCCGCCCCCACACTCAAAAAAAAAAAAAAAAAAAGTAAAAAAAACGCCCAGGTTGTTGTAGAGGCAGGGTATCAGGCGCAGGACAACTCTCCGGAATTCAGCTACTCGAATCTCGGAGTGACCACACTAGTTCCTCTGGACCTCTTTTCCTAGACGGAGACCCCTAAGAAGCGCTTACAGCCCCCCCGCACATTTCACAGTATGAGAAAATCCAAAATTCCCATCCCTTTTACTTGCAGAGATAAGGAGAAATTGGTCGTAGATAATGAAGAACATGGGCCAATAATACTGAATATCAACTAAATTTGTGCAAGTGGAGGCAAGCCCCCCTGGGGCCTAGACCCACTTGCAAAGTATTCTACCACTCCGTTCAGAATTTCGATCATGTGTGGCCTCGAGTGACGCAGTATCGCCGTCGAATACACCGGATCTCGACTGCCTGGTAGTTTCCGAGCGGGGACTGTAAAGATGCCCGCCTCCCGTCCAATGAGATGCGCCGAAAAACAGAAAAAAAAACAGATTTGTGGACATTATAGCTCGTGGCTTTGCGTGGGCCGGGGGGGGGGTGATTTCCAGACTTCATTGTTTTCTTTTTTGGCTCTGAGAAATCGAACTTGAAATGTGAAATTCAAATATTGTGGTGGATCTGACAGGAAGGCTTCCGGGTCAGTCGGATGGCCTGTTAGAGGTAGTGAGATATATGGTGATGAATGTATCCCCATACCCATTACTTGTTCATCCTCGTGACTGTGTTCGTGGACACATTTATTGCCACGGTACATCACTATAAAGACTTACATGAAGGAGATCGTACCAACCCATGAATTCGGGTGCACAGCTGTTCTTCTTTGTTTTATGTGCCATTTCAATTCATTTTAAAATTTAAATCAGAAAATGATCCATTCATGCAAATAAAAAAATCACAGTCTTTTCCAAAAAACCATAAAATTGCGTCACACATCGTAGAATACTTCGCGAGTGGGTCCAGGCCCCTGGTGTCTTCTGCACACTCTTTTTTTTTTTTTTTTTTTTCAAAACTACACTATATTATTCTCTCAAATTCTTTTTGCCTTTCACTACCTACCCACCACTACTCCTAAGGCTATTGCATGGGTCTTCCTCACCTTGATTGGCCAAAAACAACAACAACAACAACAACAACAACAACAACAACAACAACAACAACAACAACAACACGACATGTGCTGCATCCCTTACCTTGCAGTGTTGATCTCCACATTCTTGCGCTCATAATCGGCAATGGTGACGTTTGTCAAAAAGTCCCAAAATCTGCGAAAAGATAGAAGGAAAAAAAAAACAGAAAAGGCAAAGGAGTTAGTGGAGAAGTGAGGGGGGCAGAAAGGGGGAGAGGAGAAGAAAGAAGGCAGAAAGGTGAAGAGTAGAGGAGGGAAGAAGGAAGAAGAAAAAGAGGAGGGTGTTACTTCAACAGAACAAGAAGCTCTCTTTTTTTCCCTGGCAATAATGCAGTTTGCAATCACTCTCAATTTTGTTTTTCCCAACTAGAACTGCAACCTTCATGTAGTTTGTCCATACTTGCGGCGCATGCCGTGTGACGCAGAGCGCACTTGATGCGGCACATCACAAAACAAACAAACAAACAAACAAACGAAAGGAAAGGGTGGGGTGGCCAAACATGCCTCTCGCTTCTAAAAATCGACCTGCAAGAGGGGAAAAAGTTGGGGCCGCGTCATACCCCAAAACTGTGAGTGCATGTGTGTGAGTGTGTGGGTGTGCATGTCCTAATTCTGTCCAGTGACTCCAGCCTCTTTTCGGAAGGGCCCCTACAGCGAATTAGCAAGGGGCCATCATGAAGCAGAGACAGGAGTTAGACTTCCAGTTTTGCATGAGTGGCCCGATAATATATAGTCTGGATTAGAATTCAGGTCTGTGTATCAGTGGTTATGGGTCACTAATTCTCTGTTTTCCCGCTTTTCTTTTCTTAGGAATACGTGCAGTGGGTCTAAGGGCCTCTACTCACCACATGCACAAAAGACAAAACATATGGCGGCGTATTATTCCACCAACAGGGCCTCGCTAAGTGAGCAACCCATTAACTGCTGAAACACAGACCTGTTTTTTTTTGTTTTTTTTTTTTTGGGAAAAAAGCTCCATCTATTGGTGGGGAGCAGCACCTGCTGGAAACCGGGTCCAGCATCCCATAGATACAACCATATCCTCACAAATTGGCACAAACTGGGAGCCGCGCCCAGCGTCCCATAACGAGTACGCTCAGAAAACTTCGACAGAAAATTCATGAAAAAGAGACAAGGAACTACTAGAAAAATCTAATTGGCCTAAGGATGAAATTTTGGAAATTGAGATACCGGGGCCATTACCCGGCTTTGGCTCGAAAAAAATGGAGCTACTTCAGACATGTCTAGGACAGACCTGAATTCAAATCCAGAGTATATATTCGGCCAGCTCCTGCTCCACTTCATCATCGCCTGCGTTCATTTTGGTGGAGGATCTACGCTAATTTGCTGCGAGGACCCTTCAGATTACCTGCAGGGGCCCTCTGATATGTGTGAAAGGGATCCTTCTCTCTCTCTCTCTCTCTCTCTCTCTCTCTCCTGTATACACACAGACAAACCCCTAAAAATAAAAAATTAAAAAAATTGAGCGCATCTGCATCACTAATTTGCACATGGCGCATGCACACTGCAGAAGTGCACCGCAAGTACGAGTTTGTCCCTTTTTTGCAGTCTATTCACTCTTTTTTTTCCCCTGCCTTTTTTTTTTTTTTTAATTATAAAGCCAGATAAAAGGGCCTTTACGAATTAGACCCCAGATGAATGCCTTAACAGCGAGGGGTCCTGTCGGGCAGAACTTAAGTTAACGAGCAGCAACCCAAAAGACAAGTTCCCTGAGGCATATGTCGCATCCAGAATGAGATGAAAAGTCGTATTGAAAAGTCACAAACAGGTCCTGAACAACCAGGTATATTGGACACAGTTTTCAAGACTGAGTTAGGGTCATGTCTCCTCGATGAAAAGTCATGTCTGTTCGTCAATGAGTCAATGGCCACAGTCCCAGTCCAGTCATAATCCCACGAGTCAGTCCTGATTCAGACCAGGAGTCCTGATTCAGACAGGCCCGGTGGCCCAAGCAGCAGCAGACCATGGGAAAAGATACTGGGACACACACTTCGCAACACTCGGTACTGGGCAGGAGTCCCAGGCACACTTGAGGCTGAACGCAGGCCATGCCAGACCAGTCCAGCACTGTAAAGGACTGGCCAGCCTCCCATTTTGGAGATGCTCACTTCGCATGAGAGTGTGGAAGTGCCATGGCACTTGTTCGCTAGATGTGTGTGAGCTGCACTAGGCTGAGAGCAGCGCTAAGAGGAAGAGAGAGAAGAAGGGGCGCTGGCTGGAGGGAAGACAGCCATAGCTGCGCCAGCGCCAGTTAGTATATTAGTAGGGATAGCCAGTAGGAGACACCAGTGAGTAGTATTCAGAGTAGATCCTTGTGTTATAGGGAGTGTACATGCATGATGAACGGGAGTAGACCAGTACTATAGACATAGAGGGTGAGAGAGAAGAAAGCAGACGAGAGAGGGGTAGGTGTGAGCTATGGTGACACTTACCTGTTGACCGCTGTTGTTGATATTCGGCAGCTGGCGCTGATGAGCGCCAGGCCTGGAACTCATGTTGGGTGAGAAGACTTGTAACTCTGTTCAGCGCTGAAAATTTTGGACGCACGATGTTCCTCTTTAATCTGGTTTGATAATTGAGTTGAGCTTCCTGGTTCTCATTCATCTTCTATTGGGCTTTGTGTGAGACATCGCAATTTGTGAAATCTGTGTATATGCATATGGTCTGAAGCACTCCAGCAAGTGATGAACAGTCAGGTTCCTTGCACAGAGCTCTCCTCCTTTCTTTTGGGACTTGACAAGACTTGAACAAGGTTTTTTTTTTTTTTTTTTTTTTTTTTTTCCAAAGACTTGAACAAATTTCAAATTCGACATAGTTCAGTGCTTCCTACTTAGTATTTTACCTGCTCATCCCCTCGACGTAGGGCTCCTTGATGTTGTTTGCCTGTGCGACAGCTGTCACCTTGATTCGATCGAGATCCTCGTCCATTTCCGTGATGCTCTCCAAGAAATTTGCGCTCTCATCAAATGTCTGTAGCGTTCTCAGTATTTGCGGATCCGCTGTCGAATAGTGATATACAAGACCTGTTTGGCCAAAATTCCATCACACACACACACACACACACACACACACACACACACACACACACACACACACACACACACACACAATCAGTTTGTCATATGTCTTTCTTCCCCCTTTTGTAAAAGTACTTTTCCATACTCTCTACGCGAGCACCTTTAAGAAGTGCTAAACGGTCAGTCAGTGGTTGTTTGGAGTGCCTGTAGTACTATTTAGGGAGGATGCTCTGTTGGTTACATCTGTGGGTGCGTATGGTCGTACGGGTGATGACATATGTTCATCAAAGTGGCCTCCTGGCTCAGCAGGTGGTGGCAACCAACACAACAGTCTGTTGGGTTCTACTTGTGGTGCGAGACTGTGAGTAGGTGATGGATTGCTTTGGTCCGTGTTCGATGTGTGGACTGCCTTGTCTGCACTCCTTCCTCCTTCGTGGCGTTGCTCCCCATCCACCACTTGCCACACCTCTCCCTGCAGCTTGTCTGTTTGCTGTGTAGTTTGGCTTCCATGTCAGTGTTGCTCTGTGCCTCTCTGCATCGCTGCCTTGCTGCCCATCCGTGTGTCTTGTCTTGCCGTGCAGTTTACTTGTGTGCGGTGTAGTTTGGCTCTTGTCCCAGCGCTGCATTGGGTGTTGCTGTGTTGTTGCCTTGCCGCCCATCTGCTCACACTGTCGTTCGTTTTTTTTTTGTTTTTTTTTTTTTGTTTTGTTTTGTTTTGTTTTGTTTTGTTTTGGTGTTGTTGTTGTTGCGTGTATGAGGTTAGCATTTGCATTATGTAAAAGTTGGGGTGCCCACGTTAGCATTGCCAGATGCTTCGCTGAGTCATTGCCTTGCTGCCATGTTCCATTTGTGGTGTTGCTGGCACACGGCACACCTTTAACAGGGGTTGAAGGAGTCCATGCCATGACTCAAAGCATCATGACGAGGATTCCGCAAATTGTCAAGTCAAGGGCTCAGGCCCCTGATGGATGAGTCGGTGCAAGTCTGATGAAACAGTCGATTTCATCACGAGTTCTAGTTTTTTTAACTTTTTAAAACTTTTTTTGGCTCTAAAAATCGTTAGTTTTTGGTACTCGTACTTTTTGTTTTCCTTTGTTCTTTTGCTTGTGTGGGGTTTGCATGCTGCAGTTCTTCCTGGGGTATTAATCCATGTACTACAGTGCGTGGTGTGTTTTATGCCGACAACCCACGCCCGTAATACCTTCAATGCACTAATAAGAAAGCTGAGTCTCTGTATACTTCCTCTACTTGGTTTCTTCTGTGCTGGGAGGTCTGTTTTGGGTTTCGTAACAGCACACTTTTCAATGCAACATGCCGAAATGCTATTGCAGAAGTTTGTACACCCAAACACACACACACACACACACACACACACACACACACACACACACACACACACACACACACCAGTCAAACGCATCCTGGGCAGACTGTCGGGGTTCCACCTCCTGATGAGTTGGTGAAAGTCTGACGAAACAGTCTGGCCAGTCACACACACACACACACACACACACACACACACACACACACACACACACACGCATACAGATGAAGGGAGAAGGAGCGACAAAGGACGGCTTTTACGGGCTCACCTGGCTGGACTGATTCTACAGACGGATCCCCCCTTCCGTTCTCTCCATCCCTCATTCCCCCTCTCTGCCCCCTCGCTCGTACTTTCGCCTTTCCTTTTTTCCTCTCTTTCTTCCT